GAGCAGGGAGGGTGAGGGTCTGGCAGCTCCTAAGAGCAATGCTCACAATGGCCGAGAGGTCCGTTCCAGCCAGAGAGAAGTACACAGCTCCCCAGGGAGGTCAGTGCGAGGTCAGAACTCAACTCAGGGCCCACTGGTGCCCAGGATGCAGCTGCCCCTGAGCAGCCTGCATAAGCCTGCTGGCACACAGGACAGTCCATGGTCTGGGCTCTGGAGCAGCAGACTGGGCAGGACAGGGGAACTTAAAGTAGGGGGCCAGGGCTGGGGTGTGACGTGGCACTTCAGACTTAAAGGCAGCCAGTGTGGGCTCATGGCACTGATTCTGTCACCCCCCAGGTCCCCAACCCAGGTACACTGGGCACAACCTCACAGCAGCTGTCCCTCATTCAGCAGCCAGCAGAGGCCTGGGTGACATGCCTGGGTCAGCCCCTCCAGGGGATGAGACTCACGTATATGCACGTGGTATGTGCACCCTGGGATGTGTGTGGGAGGACACGGATGGGGGAGTCAGGGGCAGATCCAGGTTCTGAGCATGCACATGAGTGTTTGCACACTGCTGGGTGTGCATGAGCTCCTAAGTCCTGAAAAGCCAGTCCTGCTTTCGGACTAGGGGGCTAGGACGGGCGGGCAGAGCCACACTGACSCTCCAGGTGCCCCAGGCCTCCCCCTCACCTTATCCAGTTTGGCCTCAATCTCGACCACATCTGTCTCTACCTCATCGATGGTGGCCCTGCAACAAGAACAGGTGGCTGGGATCAGTCTGCAGCCCGCTGTGCTGACGAGGGGACAGACTTGGGCTTTGTCTCCCCTTGCACCTCCCCCAGGGGGGTCTGCCATAGAAAGAAGCTTCCAGGAAACTGAGGTTGGGAGAGGGCAAGAGGGAAGAGACCCAGGTTCAGCAACTCTGGAGCCATCCAGCACCCAGCATCACCCCAGGAAGAGGCTACATGGGTGGTAACACCCTCTGCCCAACTGAAACTGATGCACCAGGAGTCGGGGAAGGGAGGGCAGAGGTTAGGAAAGGCCTCAACCCCTGAGGACAGCAGGGAGCCAGAGAGCCACAGAGGTGGTGCTCATGACAGCCTGGGCCAAGCCTTGCTGAGGAGCAAAATAAAGCCCCAAACCAGCTGAGAAGTGGGGTCCACCAGCTCCTCAACCCCAAAACTCCAATAAGCACAGTCCGCCTGGAGGGAGAGGTGGGTCGGGTCTCCCCAGAGCCCACTCCCATCAGGGCAGCCTGACAATGGGGCTGCCATGGGGTGGGAAGAGTTAAGGAATGACATCACCGGGAGAAGCCAGGGGAGAATCCCGGAAGCCAGAGGCAGATGGATCAGGCACGTGACACCCCCACCCTCTGGGAACAGGAAATAAGGAAATAGGGCCAGGATCCCAGCAGTCCCCCACCCTGCACAGTCAACTCGGCTGGTGAACCAAGCCCATCTGACCTGCCAGGGATGAGGAACCCGGAGGGGGGCGGGGGGCGGGGGGTATAGGCACAGGCTGGGGCAGAGGCAGTCTTCCAGGGACAAGTCTTGGGTGGGGGGTCCAACAGAGGGGAGGCCACCCAGGTCTAGCATCCCCTCACCCCTTGCGACCCCCACTCCCTGGACAAGCAGAGAAAGGAAGAGTTTCCAATCTTAGGGAACGGACCTACAGGTCACTTGGGACATGGTCTGGTGTGTCCTTAAGTAGGAGCTGGGACTGAAATGGCCAAGCTGTCCCAGCCAGGAACTATCAAAGGTCCTGTCTGCCCATGCTGGCCGGACATCAGCTGCTCTGGGAGCAGCCCCCACCCCTGGAGAGGCTAAGGGAACCTAAGTCCTGGAGCAAAGAGGGGASGAAGGAAATGGAGCTTCAGCAGCTGCTGGACCATGGGTGACCTGTGTGTGCCACACCAGCCTGCCAGGCTGAGGAAGACTGCCTGGAACTACTGCCCAACCCACACCACCTGGAGGTGTGGACACGGGCAAGTTCAGACTCTGGACTTTTGACCACTGGTCTGAGAGTCCCAGAACAGAGAAGGGAGCGCCTGCCCAGAAGAGTGCTATGGGGTCACCCTGGCTCCCCTGAGAAGGCCAGATGACTGGACAGCTGCACCCAGAGCTACTGCCCTTGACCAGGAGCCTGTCTTTAGGAGATGGCAAGGGCCGTGCTGGGCCCGGAGTGACCGCCGGGCTTGCGGGGACAGGGTGGGTGCTGAGTCGAGGTTCAGCAGGAGCCCTTCTCCTTTCCTCAGTCTGGGACCTGAGGTCTTTCTCTGGCTCCCTGCAGCTGGGCCAGGGGAGGAGGCCCCTCCACTAAAGCCCTGACTCAGCACCTGAAGCCCCACCCAGGGGACGAGTCATGACACCCTGAGGTGGTGCCCCTTCCTCAGCTTCTCAGGACCCCCACCACAGTGCCCCTGGTCCAGGGGGTATCCCTGAGGCTGTTACGAGCCCCTCCCCAGGCCAGGAGACCCCAAGCACGCTTGGGGACTAGGCTCTCCATGCTTCCACATWCTCCCACAGCCCCACCCTCAAATGAGCTACACCTGAAGGTAATGGACAGAGGCTCTGCAAGCTCCAGTTAGATCACAGCCCACCCCAATGCATGGAGCCAGGCTTCCACAGCCTTAAGACCAAGGTGCAGTAGGCATCTTCAACCCCAGCCCCTACTCACAGGCAGGCTGCAGGCACCTCCCCGCCAGAGAGAGACACTCCAAGCAGTTCAACAGGCTGGTTGTGGGAGGGGAGGCCCAGGATTAAATGGGGTTCCAGTCCCTCATATGCCCATCCACAGTGGGAGAAAGAGCCACAGGCTTCTGAGTAAGGGTGAAGTTGGGTGCCTCAGTCTGGATCAAGCCGCAGGAAAGAGGCCCTGGCCATGACTCCCCCACAACCCAGGTCCAAGATTCTGGGTGCCTGAGTCACTCAGATCAGTCAGCAATGGAAGATGGGAGAACCCAGAGGATGACCTCCAGTCTCTCTGCCCAGGGCCTGGGGCCACTCTGGGCCAACCCTGACCCTCTCAACTCCAGGCTCCCGAAGGCCTTTGTTAATGACTCCTTGTGAGGTGGTTTTGCAAGAGGCTGGCTCTAAGGATGCTGAGGCAGGCTCCCAGAAACCCAGCATGCACATGCAAGAATGTCCAAGAATACACATGCAGAAGCATGACACAGGCTCATGCACAAACACGCATGCATGCAGTGGCAGAGTGTTTATACATATGTGTTCCAGAGAATGGGGTGCAAACATGTGTGTGGACATGTGTACCTGGTCTTAGAACACACCTCTACACAGACTAAGGTGTTTACAGCACAACACACTCAGTACGTGAATCCATAGGGACAGGTAATACACACACATGCGTGCCTCTGACCATCATCAGTCTACGTGAATGCACAAAGCATGTCAGTCCAGGGTGCAGCTCACCCACACATCCAGGTACATGGTATGGCACCTCAAAGGGGGCAGAGTGGCAAAGCTCACACATGTGCACCTACACATGTGCATGTGCAGAGGCATGYGGCCTCACGAAGGGGCATACTTGCAAACTGCATATGGGAAGTGCTTCATTACTGTTTGCCAAATGTCGTCCAACCATTGAAACAGATGCACACTTGTGTACACGTCCATGAATATGTGGTTCATGCAGATGTGCATGCCTGCATGCTCAGGAATAATGAAAGGTACACAAACCCCCAGTGGATACTTGTCCTTTCCCACCATCCTGGACAGCCCCCACCCTCCAGGCCCTGTGGTCAAATTACCCTTCATTCCTACCAAGTGGCCTACTCTAGGCCCTAAACGTAGCAACAGCTGCCTRTACCCATGCATTGCTCTGGACACACGGGCTAAAACAGAGTCGAGGGATGAACACTCTGGACCCAGACAACCTTGCCCAGAGCTGGGCTGCAGGGTGGCTGGGGGGAGGGGGGACCTCAGCCAGTGCAGGTTGCCACAGCAGAAAAGTGTAGATACCAAGCGGGGGTGGACAGTGCTGGAGATGGCCGTCCCCACAACTGCCCAGCCGGACACTGATGCACGGGGGCTGGGACGCCCACGCTCACACCCTCCGAGCGAGGTGAGCCACACAGGGGCGTCTTTTGTTCTAGTCCCCCGGGGCGGGGGCGGGACGGGGCCGCTGCTTTGTCCCGAGCCGGGCCCTCCGCCTCGGTCTCCGGCGGCCACAGCTCGGTCGCAACGCTGAGCAACGCCGCCCGCACAAAGGCGGCTCGCTGCCCCCGCCCGCACCCCTCTCCCGGCGGCCAGGACGCACCTGAAGCGCGGCGAGTCCTTGATGCACTCCTCGAACTCCACCGTCATGGCTGCAGTGGCAGGGCGCTCACTGGACCGAGGACCGCGGCGCGCCGAGCGGCACCCCCGGCCGCCCGCCCGCGCTCGGCGCCCGCCCGCCCCGGAATGAGGCCGCCGCGCCGCCGCCCCGCCCCGCCTGTCACTGCCGGGGAGCGTCGCCAAAGTCCGCCGCCGCCGCGCGCGCTGCCTGCTGTCACAGCCAGGGAGCGTCGCCGAACCCGCCACCGCGCACCACTGCTTTCACCCCCGGGGAGTGTCACCAAACGCCCTCCCTGTGTCCACTGCCACAGGGTCGGGGAGCTTGATGGGCCGAGACAGTTGGGCTTCGGGGACCGTCGGCCAAACCCAGGAACGGGGAGGGCGCGGGCTCCGCCCGCTCCAGCCATCCTAGCCATTGCGCAACTTGGGGCGTTTGCAAAAACCACATTTGGGAGGTCTTGGCCGCTACTCGGCGGACAGACACGCCCCTGAGGACTGGGCGGGCGGTGGGCGGCAGAGCGGGAATAGGGAGCTAACCAGTGAGTGGAGGCGGGCGCCTGAGAGCGTGCGGGGCAATAAGTGGCTCTGAGAGCGCCTCCAGGGCGCAGTCGCGGCCCAGCAGGCCGCTCAGCGGCGGCGGCACTTTCCACCCGCTCCCTAGGCCTCGCCCCGCCTCAGCCCCGCCTCTCCCCGGCAGCCTGCGGGGAGCGCGCAGGCGCAGGCACGGTGGGCGTGGCCGGCCTGAGGACWCGTGGGGCACTAGCCTTGGGTCCCTCCGGCGCGATGCGCTCAGTGCGGGCGCGCTACCTCGTGTATTTCCAGTACGTGGGCACTGGTTTTAAGTACGTATCTCGGCCTTCCCGCGACATCCGTCACCTGGCTAGCAGGAAAGATGCGACCCGGCCGGGGAGAGCTCGCGGGGGTTAAATCCAGGGTCAGCGGGCAGACAGGGTGGCCCGGGTACAGCTTGCCCAACTTTCGGGCCCAGGAAATGCTTTGTTTGGCCTTAGGGCGGGGTGGGCAGGACGCGATGGCCTTCATCAGGTAACCCCACTCTCCTCTGTCCGCAGTGGAGTCGCGGCCGTCAGAGGCTCCCAACGTGCCATTGGAGTGCAGAACTACCTGGAGGTGAGGTCTGCCCGGCTGGGAGGGAGGCAACTCCCCGGGAGGCCCCGGTGGGAGCCTGGGGATGTGTCCCCTGCGGCCCTGGYCCTAGCTCCGCTGCCCCAAAGCTTTGTCGCAGCAGGAGGCCGCAGAGCGACTGAACTCGGTAGAGCCAGTCAGGTTCACCATCTCCAGCCGTACCGATGCGGGAGTGCACGCGCTGAGCAACACGGCACACCTGGATGTCCAGCGCCGCCCGGGCCAGCCGCCCTTCTCCCCCGAGGTGGTGGCCCAGGCCCTCAACACTCACCTGAGGCACCCAGCCATCAGGTGAGCCCCCAATCTGAGCATGGTTATCCTGTGCCCTACTCTTCCTTGACACCCGTGATCCACGGTGGGTGGAGGCTGGAAGTCCAGACTGGGCAGAACCTGGAGGTGAAGGGGCAGGCACTGAGGTGTCACCTGGATATGTGGGTGGGGTTATTCCTTGCTGAGCCTGACCTGCTGCCACAGGGTTCTGCAGGTCTTCCGTGTGCCCAGTGACTTTCATGCTCGCCATGCAGCTACCTCCAGAACCTACCTGTACCGTCTGGCCACTGGCTGTCCTGGTCCTGACCAGCTGCCTGTGTTTGAGCGAAACCTTTGCTGGGCTCTCCGAACAGAGTGAGTGTGGGTAAATGCAAGTCAGGAGGAGGGGGCTCACAAGGCCCCTTGCTGGGCCTTCCCTCCTGACTGCCTGCCTGGTGTCCTGCAGCTGTCTGGATGTACCTGCCATGCAGGAAGCTGCCCAGCACCTCCTGGGGACACATGACTTCAGTGCCTTCCAGTCAGCTGGCAGCCCGGCTGCTAGCCCAGTGCGCACACTGCGCCGAGCCTCAGTATCCCCTGGCCCCACCAGTCCCTTTGTCCTCCCCGAGGAAAACAGGTGAGGAAGAGAGCTTTGCACTGTGGTCCTACCTGGTGCCACTTGGGAGGCCACCAGGGCTAAATGCAGCTCCAGAACCTCTCCCAAAAAGACAGGACAGCACTCCCCCACACTGCCTGGGAGTTGGGGACAGAGTATTACCCTCCTCTTGAGAACCTTTGCCTGCCCAGAGCTCTGCCCAGCAGATAGGCTTTGGCAGCCATTGAAAGGTTTCACTGGGACTAGTGGTTCCAGCCCAGCCTGGGTTCCACTGCCCTCAGCAGGCCTCCTGCAGAGGGTGGAGACAGCTGTTGACTTCTAGAACCTTCCCAGTCAAGGGCAGCCCCAAGGGAGACTTCTGCATAGTCAGGCAGGAGAGCACCAGGCCTAGGGGTTGGGTGTTGGCAGTAAGCAGGCTGCGCTCCCCCTCTGAGCATCCCCATCCTAGTRGTCTCTCCATGTGAGGGCCCTCGGTACATTGCTGCCTCACACAGGTTGTGACTGCTTTCGATTCCTTTCCATGGGCCCCTCCTGGGGATGGTTGGTAAGTGAGGGCTAGTACTTGGAGAGCTGACAACTAGTCCCCATCCCCAACCTATCAACAAACACTCTTGTCTGAAAGCACATGGTGGGATTGGGTGGCTGGGACTGGCCTTCGGCTTGGATATCACAGGCATCTATGTCCTAGGAAGCTGCACTTCTGGACTCTGGAGTTCGAGAGCCAGTCTTTCCTGTACCGACAGGTGGGCTGTCCTGGGTCCTCCTGGGGTGGGCCAAGGCAGACCCCTGTAGCAGCTTCATTCTGGGTTGCAGGTGCGAAGGATGACAGCTGTGCTAGTGGCTGTGGGGCTCGGGGTTTTGACWCCCACCCAGGTGAGGGTGATTCTGGAGAGCCAAGATCCCCTAGGCAAGTACCAGGCCCACCCTGCTCCAGCCCATGGGCTGTTTCTGAAGTCAGTGCTGTATGGAGGCCTCAGGGACCTTGGTAAGAGGCAGCACCACACCCATCCAGGCTGGGTCTTCCCTGAGGGAGGGGGATCTTGAGGTCAAGATATAGAAACCTGCTGTCCAACACATAGAAACCCAGGTACCCAATGGGAAGGCTGCAGGAGGGGAGCTGGAGAGGAGTTGCCACAGCATGGGATTCAGAGCCCTGTTTTCAGGCCCCTTGAGCAAAATCCCTCCGGTGGTGGCTCTAGGGTGACCCCCACCCCAGGCTGACCTAAAGTCTATCCACAGGTCCTRCCTCCTGCACCCTGCAGGGTCCACAGTATGGAAATGATGACCCTGGCCACAGAACCCTAGGTCTGGCTGTTGARCCTGGTCACCTTGATCAACATACATAGCACATCCACCCCTCTTGCTTCCTTTCGATCTCAACCTCCCCAGAGTCCCTGCCACCCTGGACCACCCCCCCTCTGCCCTTGAGGAGGCTGACACAGATTGGGGTGCAGGAAACAGGTGTAAGCACCCAAATGTCCCTGGTTCTGCTTTTCCAGGAATACTACCCCTATCTTCCAGGGGCCTGGGAGCAAGAATAAAAGGTGAGGAGACCCCTGAGGCTTGTTTATTGACAGAGGTATACACTTAGGCCAGCTGTATCTCTGGCCTTGTCCTAGAACAAGTTCTGCAGCCAGCCTGGCCATGGGATCTGCTCACACAGAGCACCCAGAATCCAGGAGTGGAAGCTGAGTTTCTCTTGCTGGGCACAGTGAAAGGCAGAGGTGAAAGCCTGGGTGGTCAGTGCATCAGCTGGGGGCCTGGGGGAGACCCTTCTTGAGCAGTGCCGTGAGGAAGCTCCCCAGCTCCTCATCCTACAAAAAAGGCGAGAAGGCCGTCACCCTGCTCCAGGTAGCACAGGCTGCCAAGGGAGAGAGCCCACCTACCCTTCCCCATGGGGCACTGGCGATTCCAACCACCTACCTGGTATGTCCAAGAAACTAACAGCACCTTGGTGCCTGGGTCCTCAGAGTGGGCAGCAGCCTGGATAAGGATAGACTCCACCGTCACAGAGCCATCAGGGAGGTGCTGCACACAGTGGTCCTTCAGGGTGCTGTGGAGAGGCATAGTGAGACCTGCCTTACCCAGGCGGAGGGGGTGGGGTGGAGAGGAAGGCCAGGCACACCTTTTGAGGTGGCTGTAGACTCGCAGGGCTGTCTCCTGTTCCTTGCGGGTGTCCTGCAGGTGCACACGGCAGGTGAAGCGCAGCTGGTGCTCGGCCAGGCCTAGCTCCTTGAGGGCTTGCTCTGAGGATACCAGCCGGAAGCTCTGTGGGGCAGGGACAGGTCAGGACAAGTAGGGGTGCTACCCCCAACCTCCATCCACACACTCACGCTGTCCTTCATGATCAGGGTGCCATGCAGTAGCCGGGGCTTCTTGGCCTCAGGAAGTAGCCCTGTGAGAAGAGTGTGGCTATCAACACATGTCACCCACTCACCAGCCACCCTGCCTGGTGCCCAACCTGCCCCTCATACCCTGCGCCATCTCCCGCTTCAGCAGTCCCAGAGAGATGCCCACAGGGATGCTGGGGCTCGTAGGCAGCGTCACCGTCTCACCGTTGGCTGGCATGTAGCAGCTGACCCCTGGGGGTAGAGATGGTGCAGACAGAACCTCAATCTGAGCTGGCCAGTCCTGTCTGCACCAGTCCCAGGGGTGGGCCCTGCTTGGTGACCCTCTGCAGCACCCCATGGCCACCTACGGAACTCCTGCTCAATCTTCTGCCGGAGGAACTCCATCTTCTTGGCCTCCCCGTGCACCAGCAGCACACGCTCTGGCTCTGCCTGCCCCACCAGCTGCATGATGCCCTTGGCGTCAGCGTGGGCACTGAACGACATGTACTCCACCTGCATCTTCACCTCCAGCTGTAGCACCAAGGTACAGATGTCAGTGCCAGGGGGCCACTGTCCCCAAGCCCGTGGGCGAGGATGAAGACTCACCACCTGTCGCCCTTCCATCTCCAACTTGCGCTGCCCACTGAGAATCTTGTGGCCCACRGTGCCCTGCACACAGTAACCAGGCATAATGACCTGTAGGGCAAGGATAAGGCTCAGCCATGTGGCCACCCAGCTGCGTACACACCAGGGCTTCCACCTGGAAGTGGAATACCCCCACTGGAGGAGGCTGCTTCCACCCAGCCAGCTGCAGACCTTGGGGGACCAGGCCCAGAGCCCACCATCATGGCTGCTCAGTTCCCCAGGTCTGAGCTGCCTGAGTTGGACACTAGCACCCCCACCATCAGTGACCTCAGACCAGCCTAAAGCCAGGTCCATGGGCAGCTTGGGGACAGGGTGGGTAAAGAACCATCCATCTGCCCTCTAGCTGTAGGGAGCTCCTGTGGCCACCTCTCAGGAGCTGGCTCTGGGCCCAGAGCCCTCACCATGTTCTTCTCATTTCCTGCCCACTTTCGGAAGATCTGCAGGGACTGGCCAGCATGCAGCATCCCTGGTGTGGCAAACACAACCTAAGGGATGGAYGAAGGTGGTCAGGGCAATAGACTCCTTGCCCAGCCCCACCACAGGCCCCAGCTTCTGACCAGGAATCCTCTGTGCCTGACATGGGATGCTGCCCACAGGGTCTAACCATGGGGCCTGGGTTGTCAGCAAATGCCCGGTCGAAGGCTTTGATATGCTTGAATTCAAACATATTCCTCTGAACAAAGGTCTTCCGAATCTTCTGGTTGGTCCAGGTGATGAAGAGCTTGTAGTAGTGGTTGGCCTTCTCCGTCAAGCCCGTGGAGAAGTAGATGGGCACTTTCAGGTTCATGCGTTCCCTGTGGGCCCACCGACCTGGTTAGTGGTCACTGCCAGGGTCAGCCTGGGCCATGTCACTCATGCCCTTCACCTCACAGCTTGGCCAGAGTCGAGGAACTGAGCTCCCAGCTCTCTCCACCCCWRTGGCCATAAGGCCAGTACCTGCAGCCTGTATCCTATAACACGAGTGTCCCAGAGCTTGTGTGGCAAGTTTAGAGCTGGACCAGAGACCCTGAGACCAGCTACCAATGATGTTGATGATGCTGGCCTGCAGGTACATGGCCAGCTCCACCCACCAACACTGAGCAGGGYCATGTCGCTGGCACCCTAACCATGGGGCTCCAACAGTGGTCGGTGCTGCCTTGACTTTTCAGGCCACCTCCCACCCAGGCTGTGCACAGGCCATGTGCCCCCCGCTACCCTCAGGCCAGGAGTAGTCTTCTCTGCACCTACCAGAAGGTCTCCAGCAAGATGCAGAGCTCCTGAGCACGGCCCAGTGCAAACACAGGGATCAGCACCTGAGGGAGGTGAGGCCAACTCAGGTGGAGCCCCTGGCCATGCCACCCACACCCAGCATAGCAGGTGATAACTTGCTCATTGTGCCTATCTTTGTGAGACTGTGCTGGCTGATTTCAGTGGTCAAAGGCAGTGTCCAGTCAGAGGCATGGCCCAGGCCCCGACCCTGCACACAGCCTGGTTCCCAGCCACGAGCAGACAGCAGGGGCCATGGGATGCTCTGGATAGCCCTTCATCCCATCTGAAGCCGGGGAGCTGCCATCTCCTAGGGAAGGTTCTTCAGGGTTTTTCTCCTCAGTGCTAAATAAGCAGCACCCCACCACCACCCCCCAAGACCTGACACACATCAGGGTGGCAGGGCCTGCATAGCTGGGTGGGGCTGGCTTCCATCCCAGAGCAGACACAGCTACCTTCCCGCCACGCTCCACGGTCTCGTGGACTTTCTTCAGGAAGTCTCGCTCGCGGCAGCGCTTGGAGTCCCGGATGGTTGTGGCATAGGTGGACTCCGTGATGAGCAGGTTGGGACGGCACTTGTCAATCCAAGCAGCACTATAAKGGGTGGGTGTGGCTGGTAGTGGACTGTCCCAGCCCCACTCACAGCCACCTTCCTGAACCACTCTGCCAGCAGCCTGCCCCTTTCCTAGATCCAGTTGTACGTTACGGGTAGCACCCTCAGAAGGGCTGGTAGAGGCCCCAGCCTAGACCTGTGCCTTCCTGCCTCTGGGTTCCCAAGGTTAGGGCTCTCTACACCACATACAAAACTTGTTGGGGACACCAATGCGCTGACGGCTCAGGTGCCCAGCACCACCACACCACAGGTCTCTAGTCCAGAAGGAACCCACAGGATGAAGCACAGAGGCCTACTTACCCCAAGTGGCGGTCCGGGGTCATGTTATAATCACCCTGGCAAAGAAGGCAACAGTGAGGAGGGTCTCCCAACCCCAGGCAGCCTTGCTGAACCACAGGCCCCTCCACTGACCGTGTAGACCACAGACTCTGAGCCCACTTTGATCTGGAACATGGCCGCCCCCAGCACATGGCCCGCGTAGTAGGCCTTGATCTCTAGCTCATCATCCACCTGCAGAGAGAGCAGAGGGTTGAGCTTGGGCCTACAGGTGCAGGGCAGGTGTAGCTGAAGTCAGCATCTCCCAAGTCTCCCACCAACTCCACCCCTCATGCAAAAGCCACCCCAGGAGGTGAGGCAAGCTGGAGAGCAACAGAGGTGGCAGTTTAAAGCCTGCAAAGTTCCTAGACACTGTTCCAGACAACATGGCTTTAGGTGTCCTCTCAGCTCCCAAGAAGGGGATTCTCCAGGCCTGTGTGGCACAATACATGCTGACCACTCAGGTGCCCAGTACCACACCCCAGGCTCTGGTCCTGAGGAACCCCACAGACCCTTACCTCCACAGAGAGAAAGAGGCAGGACTGAGAATAGAGGCAAAGTCCAAGAAACTACACAAGAGTGAAGATTCTAATAACCTAAATGAATTCAGTAGGTGAATTTACCAACACATTGAAGAAAACCAGGGCTGGGGTTATGGCCCAGTGGTAGAGCACTTGCCTAGCACATGTGAGGCACTGGGTTCGATTCTCAGTACCACATTAAAAAATAAATAAAAATTYAAAAATGAACAAATTTATTAAAAACAAAACAAAAACAACGGGCTAAACTTTGAGGGTGAAACAGCATGAAGCACAAGACAGAAGGATAGAGGAGGCAGACGACCCCAAGGGCTGAGAAATCGGCACGCAGGCCACAGCACAGCCAGGACCCACAGGAGAACRGCAGACGGAGGCGTGCTGGAGTGTGGGACGAGAGACTGTTGGCCAGGCCTTTCCTCGTGAGGGTGGCCCTGCAGGAGCCTCAGAGGACAGGCCCATGGCAGCAGTCGAGGAGGGACATTCCTGGCTGCAAGCTGCAGTCCTGCAATCAGGGCCCACAGGGGTGGCCCAGACAGCTGCCCAGGCCTCCCTTCTATTAAATGGGCCCTTCTGGGCTGGGGTTGTGGCGCAGTGGTAGAGCGCTTCCCTGGCAGGTAAAAGGCCCTGGGCTCAATCCTCCTCAGCACCACAYTAAAATAAATAAATAAAACAAAGGTCCAACTACAACTAAAAAATTTAAAAATTTTTTAAAAAAAGGGGAGGGGGCTTTTGAACACAGACCTTTCTTTCGCAGACTCAGAAA